GTCAACATTTTTCATCTGTCACAAGGTGGAAAAACCCTCCAGCAAATTGTGAAATACAAATGGATGCATTTGTGGAAAGATCAGCAGTGTAAGCCAGGTAGTGTTTTGTAGGTCATTCACTGATGCATACGCCAGATCCAAGACATGATTGTAGCAAAACCCAAACAAAAGCAGTTGCTAGGAAAACATTTACGTGAGCAACAAACTGGAGCCCAGGATGGAATTAACGACATCATTCACCAGTAGAAACCAAAGCCCAGGAGCCAGTTGGAGCCATTGATGAACCTGTGGACGTCTCTGTGTGTGTGTGTGTGTGTGAATCCCATTTTGATGCAGACGGTCAACACGCCCATGCTGGACACATGGGGCTCGTGAAAAATGAAAGAATGTGCTTCAGTCAGCAGTTGGAAATGTCGAACAATCACAAAGCTACCAAAGATATAAAACTAGAGGCTGTAGTAGGACAGCTAGACCATTTCAGTAAAGTTTTTTTTTTTTTTTATCACTCAATGACGCTTTGCACCCTAACGGCGCATGACAGCAAATGTGGTTTCATCCTCAATAAAAGCTGGAAACACTGCAGCTCACGGTATCCTCTCGTTATACCAACCGCCTCCTTTGCCTCGATATAAGCTGCTTTAGATTTGTCAGCGTGGATAACCATATGGAAAGCAGACCCACTGGAACCTACGCTGAACAGCACACCAGCAGGAGCAGTAGCGAAAGAAACCCTACACTGTCAAAACAAAGTGTGGCCCACACATTTCTACCGTGTGAGGAAAACCGAATTTGAAAGCCTGCCGAGGGAAGTGTATACACATAAACATGCATACATAAAGGCAACGACGGCCACAAACAAACCCGCAAGCGAGGACCACCCTGGATGCTTTTTCTCCGTCTGTCATTCTGTGTGCTAAGAAGTTCCTATTCTTGCATCTTTGAACCGATGACAAGATGATCAACCATTAGTACAGGTCAGGGGTCGCGGCTCAGCCTCAGCCAGCCCCATGCATCAACCACACTCTTCAGACCACAGCTGTTGCAGCTCTGCGTCTGTTAATAGCTTGATGTTTTCCTTCAAACACCGGGGTTTCTTTCCATCACCTTTTCCTCAACCCCACAGCTCCCCCAGAGGCTATGTAAAGATGAGCCGTGTTTGCTCATAGCAGAGCCGCTGAAGGTAAAGCCCCACGGTCAGGAGTTTTTTTTTCCACTCTCCAGCTTCCATTATCGCCACAGGGTGGGAGGAAAAAAAAGTGATTATATTGACCATGCCAGCGAGACAGTAGCTGTGTTTAAGTGGACTTGTGGTCTGGCAGAAAATGAGAGCAGTGACCGGTGATTTAAAGGTCAAAGGGGTGACATGGTAGGTGAGGAGAGCAGCGCAGCAACAGAGAGGGGAAAGCATGTGTAGGGAGGAGGGGATTGGTGTTGAGGAGGCTCAGAGGGGTTGGAATGGAAATTCTTGTGTTACCTTCTTCTTTTATTTCCTCTCCTCATTTCCTTCTTCCTGTATGTCTGGGAGGGAACTGACAAGGATCATGGTGTGTGAACATAATGCAACTTTGCTGGCATGAATATCAGCAGCTGTGCGTTCACATGCTATTCCTTCATAAATTATCCATGTAAACTGAAACATAAATAAAAGAGGTGGGGTTACAAGCTGATCTGAAAATGCACACAAACAATCAGTAGTGTATTTTACTTTTAAAAAATGATTGACCTTTTGACCAACTTATGTCAGACCTCAGTTGTAACTCCAAACAAGGGGGAAAAAAATGAAAAAGGTGACCAAAAACACACCCAGATCGACTAGCGTTTAACTGAAAAGCAGCATGTGTAGCTGCTGAGTGCTCTCCAAGAGAATGCACGCTTGGTTCACAACTGATCGAACCCAGATGTTTAGAAAAATCACAGCTGTAGGAAACATGAGTGGGTATAAATATGCAGGGTTGAGAAACTGACCTCACGTACAGCAGTTTAAATATGACAGATGTCAAGCTGAGCCGCGCCGCTATCGACAACCACAAGACCGCAAAATGTACACACACAGGGATTTAGAAAAAGCATCCACTAGGAAGTGAATACTGCTGATCATGCCAGTCTTGCCCCAGACAGAGGAAGTTGCAGCACCGCCATGCCAACTAATGGCACTCAACAGACTGAAGGGCAGAAGGCCACCGGGGTCATGTGATGAGCAGAGAAGCAAATGCCAACATATGCAGGAGTTGGAACTAAATTCCTTAAAATGTGAAGGACAGTCAAAATCATCCACAAAATTTATGACACATAGCAGCTTTAAGTGCAAAACACAAACTATGAAAAGTCTCAACACGACAATGTCATGTTGTAATGGATAGGTCACTGTGTAGAGTCTTAACATTATCATTTTATAACATTTTGTAGTATTTTAACTGTGTTATTCAATATACTCGAGTAAAACCATACCATAAACCACATTGTAGGGTCACAACTTTAGTATTCACAGTTTGAAACCTTATTTCTGTACTGGAAAGCCCTTTGGTTCAACAGCTGCTGTTTTAAATGTGCTATGTGAAAATCAGTGACAATTATGAGAAGCACTGTACAAAAAAAGCACATAGTTGTATTTTCTGCTAATTTTTTGCACCAGAATGCTCCAATGTAAGGACTATGATGCTAGAAAATATATGCACTTTAAGCCTTTATTTGCAATCAGCTTGCTTATTTTGCATTTTCACACAAAAAAAAGGCATTCATTTTTTGTCTTCCTGTCAAATTTCATCTCACTCTTCATTTTAAGTTTTAATATGAATCAACAAAAACGTGTTTTATGAATAAAAATGAGCATCAATGTTCCTGTGACACACTCCAGACCGAAAACTGGAATATTTCGTCAGTACAGTAACTGTCCATTGTGAGTCTTTATGTCTTGTCGCCAAATACTGGAAGTAACAGCAGTTGTTTATTTTAAAATCAGTTTTGTTGTGTTTTTTGTCAGTTATTATTACATTTTCATGAAGAAATTTGGGTCAAGCTCCTGCATTATAACAGATGGGAAGTTTCTTCATGCTTTGTCTCCAAGAGACTGAGACTGGAGGGAGAAACATTGAAATGGAAACATCCATTACACATCATGGAGCATGGCTTACCTACCCCATGGTAAGATGTTGCAAAAGAAAAAAAATAAAATCACCTGGGAAGGCACCGAGTTCAAATTCTGAATGGAACTATGAGCAATGGGAAAGTTTTATATCAGTGAAGCATATGCCAAAAACAGCTTGATATTTCTTCACCGTGGAACAGTCGATACAGTATTACTGCCATATGTGTGTGAGCTGTTGTTTTTAAGGAGACTGCAATTAAATTGTAATAAAGGTCGAATTATGCCGTCATATTAACATTATTTGGGGATGCATTATAAGTCGTTAAAACTGTGCCAGTGGAATGGGTGGTAGTGTTAAATACCTGTTTAACTTGACTATGAAAATACAATGCCTATAAAAAGTGTTAATCTCCAGGGAAGTTTTCACTTTTTATGGCTTTCGACACTAAATCGTGGTAAATAGAATTTGGCCTTTTGACAAAAATGTACAAAAAACGACTTTTTAATGTCAAAGTAAAAACAGATTTCCATAGAGTACAGTCAATTAATTAAATTATAAAATGCAAAACAAGTGATTGGATAAGTATTCATCCCCTTTAAGTCCATATTTAGAAGAACCACCTTTGCCCACAATTACAGCATTGAGCCTGTTTAGCTAGGCCTCAATTCCTCAGTCTTGTCCATCCGGACGCTGCAATTTTAACCCATTCTTCTTTGCAAAGCTGCTCAAGCTCTGTCAGGTTGCACAGGGATCAAGACTGATCAGCCCTTTTCAAGCCCAGCTACAAATTGTCAAGGCCACTCCAGAACATGCACCTTGTTCTTTTTAAATCGTTCCTCTATTGTGTTGGCTGAATGCTTCAGGTCATTTTCTTACTGAAACAAATCTTCTCCCAACCTGTAGTTCTCTTGCAGCCAGCATCAGGTTGACATCTAGGATTTTTTTTCTATACTTTCTTTTTACCCTCCACCTTGCTGCCGAGTAGCATTCCCATATCATGATGCTGCCACCCCCATGCTTTTAATGTTTTGAAGAAATAAAAGGGAAAGCTTCCAGTGAGGTTGAACACTTTTCATTGGTACTGTACTCATAGCACTTTATTGCATTTTGGCTGCAGTTCACACAATAAAGGAAGGAAAGGCGTATGATGACTCAAGATATGGCTTCTCATTTTGGCCCTGCACTGTCCATTGGTCAGTCCTGTTTTGAAAAATTGCAAAACACAGTACATCATAGAAAAACAAGTAGGTTTAACTGGTCCAATTATTTAATTTGCCTTCATCAAGTGTTGTGATTGCAATGGATTTATCCAATAATAAGAAAGCTTTACAAGTGACATTTCAATAAATATCTATAAAGAGTGTTGCAACACATGCAAAAAAATAAATACAAAAATAACAGTGCATGAGACCACAACATAATGTGGAAGCAGCGGAAATTACACATTCATACCAAAAGTGAAAAAAGCAAGAAAGAGGAAACACATTAGCGTGCAACATATTCTGAAACAACAACAAACTGTTGTGTATTTACAGCGTCCAGCAACCTAACCTAAATAATTTGAGAGTGTTAGTGATTTCACATTAAAAATGTGCAGCAGCTTTACATACTTTAAATGTTTTGTTTGACAGATGCTATGATTTTGTGCCTTTTTTTACATGCTCTTTTACTAATTGTACTTTGTGTTTAACTCAGCGGCTGTCTGCTGCAAACGATTGTTCTCGATTGACGATTGACAAATATTAAGCTGAAGTGAAGTAATCTTCATGTGTGTTAAAATAGATCTAGAGATATCCTCTGCAGCCTGTCCTCATGACAGGAAAGAGAAAGGAGAAGGCAACGAGAAAGTCTTCCTGTGGCTTATGCATCAACCAGCACACATGCGCTCTCACTGAGAGTGACTTGACCAGACGATCGGTTTTAGGTAGCATTTGTACACGGTACTGAAGACAGAAGGATCATTAAGCGCAAAAGGAACTGCACTGGAGCTTTGATTGGGACCCACTGACACACATTAGCAATATTATCAGGTCAGTTGCAGGAAATTAAACCGCATTTCTTACAATAAATCAGAGTAAACCTGTAGAATGTTTTAGACTGAGCAACTTTAGAAATGTCTTTGATTTTAGGCTTTTGCAGCCTTTGCAAGAGATGATAAAGATATATATATATAGAGAGAGAAAATGTAGGAATGTACACTTATTCAATGCTTGTTCTATTACATGAACCATCAAACTAAGAACAATTTTCCCTTGATTTTTTGTTTTTAGACATCACACATGGAGATAAACACAACTTTCTCCTTGGTGTCTGGCAATTACAGCCACACCAACACCACTTGCTCCCGAGACAATGTTTTGAAGACGGTGGTTTTTCCTGTTCTCTACACCCTTCTTTTCCTGGTGGGGATGTTGCTCAATAGCGTGGCTGTGTGGGTGTTCTTTCGCATCCCCTCGCGGTCCCACTTCATTATATACCTGAAGAATATTGTTGTTGCGGACGTCATCATGACCTTCACTTTTCCTTTCAAGGTTTGACACTCTTGCTGGTACACATCTAAATGATTTGTGGGTTATAACTAATGGATTTACTCGTGATTTTTAAATAATTTACTGATGTTTCATAGCTTATCTGTCAGCCATTAATAGAACATTTTAAGTTGTGAGAAATCTCTTGCTGGTGAGTCTTTTATATTGAAGTCATTAAAAATGCAACTAAGATATTCATGTGAATTTTGCAGTACGTGTTAGTAAAGTCATTATTAAAAGATCACAAGTATGTCAGTTTCTCATTAGTCATCAGCAAAACATCAGCAAGATGTCTGCAGTTATACATATTAATGTCAAGCTGGGGTTGTTAACACGAATAAATAGTGAATAAGTAACCACTGTTGGGAGATTTTTGACAACTTCATTTGTCACACTTATTTATAAACCCTTTATAAAGGGTTATAAAGCTGTACCTTATAAATAACATATGATTTGAATGTGAAATCACTGTTTAACTGTAAAATGAGAAAGCCTGAACGCTGTGTCTCTGCAGGTGTTGTCAGACTCCAACTGGGCGTCCACCGGCCTGCGAATATTCGTGTGTCGAGTTTCCTCAGTGCTCTTCTACCTCACCATGTACATCAGCATCCTCTTCTTCGGCCTCATCAGCATCGATCGCTGCAGAAAGACCCTGAAGCCTTTTCGGGGCACTAACTCTGCCCGGCTGACCCGTCGGAAAGTCCTTTCAGGAACCATCTGGACCTTTTTGCTGATTCTCTGTCTGCCTAACGTGATCCTAACGTGCAAAACCCCGACTTCTCCTTATTTCAAGTGCAGCGACCTGAAGACGGAGTTTGGGCTGTACTGGCATGAGGTGGTAAATCATGTGTGTCAAGTGATTTTCTGGAGCAACCTGGTGACTGTGATAGCTTGCTACACTCTAATCACCAAAGAGCTGTACAAATCCTACTCTCGCACTAAATCTCACAGCACTGGGGGAAACATATCTCAAGCACTAAGCGGGGGAACCACTCGGAAACCCCAGCAGGCCAAGAGAAAAATGAATGCAAATGTGTTCTTGGTTTTGGCGGTCTTCTTTGTGTGCTTTGTGCCGTTTCACTTTGCCCGAGTGCCGTACACGATGAGCCAGACCCGAGGAGTTCTCTTTGACTGCAAACTCAAGCTCTTCTTCTTTCAGCTGAAGGAGAGCACGCTTTTCCTCTCATCCCTGAATTCAGTTCTGGACCCTCTCATCTACTTCTTCCTCTGCAAGTCCTTCAGGAACACTCTGTTCAAGACCCTGAAGCTTCCTGCTGGTACCTGCAGCTGGATAACAGGGAGAGGCTCGGATACAGACTCAGGCAGCACCGCTCTGAGAAACTCTTCCGCCGGCACATAAAAACACTGGACATAAGAAAGACTTTTTTTTTTAAAATGTAGTGTCTGAATGTGCACTGTCTGCTCTCAGAAGGCTTTTTTTTTTTTTTATAAAGACCTGCTGTTAAAAAAAATGGATCAAATCCAAATGTCACATACAGTAGGTGACAGACACGGTGTACTTTCCCATAATGTGGCCTGAGACTACCAGAAATGAAATCTACATGCCAGAGCCCATGTAATTACACATGTAATTACAATAATTAGCATCTTTAAAACTTGCAGGTTTACTATTGTCTGTGTATCGTCTGTAGAGAACAGTGTATTGAAGAGAAGTTCACACACTGTATGCTAATGTTTTTTTTTACTTGTGTCAAACTTGAAGTGACCCTCTTAGTTCTTCTTTCTGTTCTCTGTTGAAGTTCAATAACATTAAGTTTCTCTTCTATATTTTCATACTCACTAATTTTTGAAAAGAAATGTGAAGCATTCTGAAAATAAATGTAATTTTAAGGACATCTGCAGTTTGCTTCTAAAATAATGCATCTATATAATGAATCTTAAATATTCTCCTGTGATGTCCTCGTGCTGCATTGTCCATTCTTCTTCTTGCATCAACAGTAATCCTAACCTATTAGGTCCATGGATACATTATGATACAGTGGATGAAGCACTGACAGATTTAGAAAGTAGTCAAGGTCACAATCTACAGAACCGGGGATTTCCAAATGTGCCTACTGCTTTCGGATTCAACTGCAAAGCCAAAAGATTTCAAGTCTCACAGAAATTTAAAGTGATACTGCATAAAGGAAGTAAATGTAATGACAGTTTTATCGTTTTTGTGGCCCTGAGGTTTGCACCAACCTCTCACATAACCGAATATTAAATCCTGTATGGCCGCAATATACGCCTCGGTTCTTTTATGCATCTACTTCTCGCTGGCAATGTAATCAGATTTTTCATATTTTGAAACGTTAACAATGTGTCTCTTAAAATCTTTCAGCACATTTGCTAAATAGGAAATTAATTATGCCCTGGAAAGCTAATAAACAGCATACATAAAGAAACATTTATTTGCTGGTCAAAGGCAGAAATTGTTTGACTGTTGACTAAAGACACAAAGCTTCCCACAACGTATGTCATTTGAAACTTCCTCCCACTCTGAAGGTGCGCACACACATCATCACGAATTTGCATCTTCCTGACAAAGAGGCGGCCAAACACTTGTAATTTATCTTTTTAAGGCGTCCTTCCAGGTTGCACGGCGGTCAAGCATTAACCATTCTCAGCGGTGAGTGGCGAAATATTTTTAACTAAAAACTGTTATTGTTTGCATTGAAGAAAGAGTTCATTAAAGTGTAACTGCATTGAATCAGTTATTTCTCAAAAACACATCAGCATGGCTCAGATTTAGTTATGAGGAGGAATTAGATCTGGTCATTATAACTGTCAAAAACAATGTGAGCCATCCGTTGAGGAGGAGAGAGGTATCTTAACCATTCACACTGAACTGGGGATGTGATTGGAGGACATGGATGTCTTGCTAAAATAAAAGTACATTACTTTGGCGGAATTAATTTGCTTCCTTGCTCAGATTCATTTAGATCAACTTGCTTTTCCTTTGGCTATTTACCAGGTTGGCATTACTGTCACACAAATGGACAGCAACATTTTAAGAAGATTTAATATTCGTAGTGAACATACTGACCATGTAAGTCTAGTTAACACACTTACAAATCAAATCATTACAAAGCAGATGTCACATGCTACTGACATGAATTGCAAATGACTGAAATGTGGCAGCTTCTATGTCGTGTTTCACTGTCCGTATGTGCAAAATGTTTCACGTTCATGTGTTCGGCGAGGTGAAATCAAAACCAACAATTGCATAATTTCCATCACTGGGTGTCAAAAGTGGAAGTGTCAGGTTCAACATTCAGGGTGCATTCAAATGCTCTGGTTGGGCATTCATAAACAAATCATAGTAGCACATGCCCTCTACACTAATAACAAATGCAAATCAGTCCAACTGGGAAACCTGAAAATTTAGGGCATAAGCAAGTCTCAGTCTCAAACAAGTCCTCAGCAGAAGCCCATTCCGGCTGATTTTCGAGTGCAGCTCTGGCAGTTTGTTTTTTTAATTTTCTTTTTGAGGAAGTTTTCAATGAAGCAGCATACACAAATATGTTTGACGTGCATGTTAGCCCGGTCTGCAGGGCACACACAACTGATTTTACTTGCCGTGTACTTGTGTTTATCCGACATTACAGATATAAACTAGCTTCTGATTTGTTAGCTGGAGAGAACGATAGTTTATTCTCCCGCCTAAAACTAGCAAAAATATCTTTGATCCCTTCATTTTTTTCCCCAGATCCTGACGATGTCCAGCAACGCGTCAACCCTCTCCACTGAATGTGCAGCTTCCAGCCTCGTGATCACAAATGAGGTGGTTTCATCCCTCTACTTCCTCTTGTTCCCCGCTGCATTCCTACTCAATGGGGTGGCAGTGTGGGTGTCTTTTCACCTGCGCTCCACTTCCACCTTCATCGTGTACCTTAAAAACCTGGTGGCTGCTGACCTGCTCATGACACTGACGCTCCCTCCCATAGCAGTCAGCTTGCTTCCCGGAGCAACAATTACGTTAAGAGCTTTGGCCTGCCGCTACACAGAAGTCATTTTCTACAGCTGTTTGTACACAAGCATTGCATTAATGGGACTCATAAGTCTGGATCGCTTCTTCAAAATTGTGAGACCGTTTGGAAAGGTGTTGGGACAAAATGTAGTGTTCAGTATCGTCATGTCCAGCTTGGTCTGGGTTGTGATGTTTGGAGGTACGGCTATCCCAACTATGGTTCTAACTGACCAGGATCCCCATTCTGATAATCTTACTGCAGATTTCTGCATGTCCCTGAAAAGTCCAGCTGGTATCAGTCTTCACAAATATGTGGTTGTATTCATGGAGATTCTTTTCTGGTTTGTCAGCGTACTGATTGGGTTTTGCTACATCTGCATCACCGCCAAAGTTCTGAAGTCCTTCAGAAACTCCGGGAGCAACAACACCGAAGGACAGAAGAAAACCAAACTACGAGTCTTCCTGATCCTTCTTGTTTTTTGTGTGTGTTTTGTGCCTCTCCACTTGGTGCGTATTTCTGTCTCGCATATTAAAATCTTTGACAACGCTGGCTGCAGTCAAACATGGGTAGTGGCTGTGAGTAAAGTTGCCCGTTGGGTGTCTGCAACCAACGCCTGCCTCGACCCTCTTCTCTACATCTACCTGTGCAGGGAGTACAGAGACAAACTGGTTGGCATGATGAAAGCTAAAGGTATCTGTGCTGGGTTGTACTCCGACCAAAACGAGGAGATGTAACATTAGAAAAAAGCACATGTGTAGATGTCAAAGTATTTGAACTTTACAAAGTAGGAGAAATACAATATGCCCTCGAGGTGGGGTTTCATTTGAATAAAAACACAGAAAATTAAAACCTAGGAAGCTAGAAAACCTCAGCAGACTGAGAGTTTGTCTTTAAATTTAGTGTTGTACTGCCCTCTAGTGACCAAAGGAGGATTAGCATCTATTGAGATTCGAGGTCCAGCAATGATTTTAAATGAGCTTCTTGTTAAATGTTGTGAAAATCCAATATGCAAACTTTTTGTTCTCATGTCAGTGGTTATGTTTCAAAAAAACTGTCCTCTACACATGCACACGGCATACTGTATGTTTACATAGTGTATATATTTACAACGTCTTTCTCAACACTATGTTTTAACCCCACACTGGGGTGTTATTTTGAAACCCATGTTAATAAATTTCATTTTCAAGTCATCTATTGTTTCCTTTTTTTTTGAGTTTGCATCACCACTGATTCAGATTTACATGACAATATGTCGAAATGTAAATGTAGAGTATAATACAATAATAAAATAGAGAAGAAAGATTATTTAAAATTTTCCAAATCACTTTTTAAAAATTTGTTTTGAACTATTACAAAAGATAGGAAATTCAATTTATGTACATATTTCTCTGCTACAGAAATGAATAACATAAATGCATCCTGCAAATCTTTGGCTTATTATTTAATGTTTAACTAAATGCTAACAACATTTCTTTCCTTGCAAAAGTGCTCAGCTGCCAAAAATGTATTCCTTTTATTTGAGTGTATATTGAGTTTTTCATGGCCTCATTAAATGATTTCATTATCTCCAATCACGCTCTAAACTATCTGCGTATGCCAAAGCGTCCTCCTCCGTCTCAAACAGCAAAAATAAAAAAAGTAAACACCAGCGTGCCCACTTTGTTTTTCACTGCAATATTCTAGCCAATAAACACTAAATTTCCTTGACAGCTATTGCACTTCCTTTGTTTAGGGAGACAATACGCTCCAGTGAAGGCTGCGGCGCTCTGTGGTTGGTGTTAACCGATACCACCCTTTGGTCAGACGATGCTACTGCACCAGGTTGCTGCAAAGTCATGACTTAATTTTCTTGCTAAAAAAAATGGTGCAGTCAATCAGGAACATATGAAAGCAGATGCGTAGACCAAAAACAGACAATTGTTTAGCTTTTTAATTAAAATATTTCTCAAAGGAAACTTCATTTACTCTGCCAGCAGTAAACATCACAATAACGATGAGTGGAATTGGGGAAACGTTGTGCAGTTAGTCTTCTAAATGATGTTCAGCGCAAATGGTACATCAATATTGGGGACGTTTGTTATGCTAAAACTCTTGATTAAGTAAAAAAAGAAAGATGCATTCGAGTTGGAGTTGACTATTCGTGTCTGTAAACAACCATAAATGCTTGTTTTGATTATTTTAAAGTGGAGGAACAAACAGTGACATCTGAAGCTCATGTGAAGGACAAAGCAAGTATGAAGGACCATCAATCCAACTCTTCAATCCATCCAGTCTAAGTGCGGATGTGTGACGTCTGTTTTGTTTTTGGCAAAGGCCGGGAAGTTTTTCCTATTTTTGCATATGCCCTGGTAAATTGCCAGTCTTATCACAGCTGAAACATTGATTTGTTTGCTAGGGAAATCAACGGGGTTTCTTAAGCACCTACAATGTCAGTAAACAGTCACACGGATCCGTTTGGTAACTTTGAGAGGAGAAGATCAAGTCAACAACCGTAAGTTATAATCAAAATGCAATTTTTTTCTCATTGTTAGTAACAATATAGCATTTGTACATAAAAGATTAACGACAAAGACAACCTATTAGCTAACTGGTGGTCTTCTTCTAAAGAGTCCTCTTAAAACACCTTTACAATGTGTTATGATATATGGATTTTTAAAAAAAAAGAAGGGATGGCTTTTAATAAGGCATCACAACAATGATGAATATCGCAGTTAAGATGCCAAAAAAAAATTGCAGATAAAAAAATTGCCATGTATTTCTATCTAATAATGTTGCGTATGTTTTTTAAGATATTAAATCACTACAATTTACACAACTGACAAACATTAAAAAGAAACCATAGTCTGTGCTCTGTGTTCTATAAACCCTATAAAGGTAGGAGAAACAGACTATCCTAAAAGAAATGGTTTTCCACGATAATAAGTCAAAATATCTTTATTTCATTTTGCTAACAGCCAGTGGAAGGCTTCTGTGTGTTTGATGAGGTGCATTAGTTGCTTCTTCTTCCACTTTACTCAGTAAACTCTGAGAAAAATGAGCTGCCCAGCGATGACAAGCAAACCTATAATCTCTCCTTATTAATTCCGAATTTGCATTCAACTGTTTCTCATTTTATTGTTTTGGCGAGGGCTTGAAAAATAGAAACTCTGAAGTATATAAAGCACTAAATGCAAATACTGGAAGACGGCATGTATGAGGAATGGAAAAATGGATAATAAAATAAATGTTTTTAAACTAGTACGCAGCAAACAACATAATAAACAGCACACTGCTTTTTTTTTTTGTCGCTTCACTTAGCCTGCAGCTTGGACCCAGAAACAGGAGGGACAATGGGTAAATGGTTGGATCCGCTCTTTGAAAGCACCCAGCCAAGTGAGTGAACGCAACTTAATTCTGAATTATTCAAACAATGCTGCACATATTCAAGTGAGACAGTTTGCTTAACATACGTACTTTAATGTAAGGTCTATGTAGAAATGATCTTAAAAACAGCCAAACTGTGGATCTAAAATGTGTTTCTCTTCTCTGTAGGTGCAGTATCACCGGTGGATGACGCATCTTACGACGATTCAGATTGTGAACATTTCGTTTACACCTCAGTCCCCACCCAAGTTCTCTACTTTCTCATGTTCCCTGTGGCTTTGTTGCTGAACGGTGTGGCGGCCTGGGTGTCCCTGCACCTTAAATCCACCTCCACTTTTGTGGTGTATCTGAAAAATCTGGTAGCTGCTGACTTGATCATGACCTTGATCATCCCAATCAAAGGTGCGAGTGACTTGCCAGGTGCTTCGCAGCAATTATACCGGCTTTCGTGTCGCTACTTCAGTGTCATTTTCTACAGCACCCTGTACACGTGCATCTCGTTGCTGGGCATCATCAGTGTCGACCGATTCTTCAAGATCATGATGCCCCGCAGCAAGTTGTGTCAGAATCTGACCTTAAGCAAACTGATATCAGGGTCAGTGTGGGTGATGCAGTTTGGAGGCACAGCTTTGCCAAATATCATTTTAACTAACAAATCAGGAGAAAATATGACAGAGATTGACAGCTGCATGAAGCTGAAAGGACCGGCAGGACTTCAGTTCCATGAAAAGGCAATCATTTTTGTCAATGTTCTCTTCTGGTTCGTCAGTGTGGTCATTGTGGTCTGCTACATCGGCATCGCAAACAAAGTCATCCAGTCTTTTAGAAACTCCGGCAGCAACAACAACCAGGGCAAGCAGAAAATCAAACTTCGCGTGTTTCTGGTTGTCATTGTGTTTTTTGTGGCATTTGGACCGTATCACATCATCAGGATCCCGTACACTTTTCAACAAGTCAACTCTTCTTCCTATGCAGACTGCTCTTATGTGATAAGCAAATTTGTCAAAGACCTCAGCCTCTGGCTTGCTACCACAAACATCTGCATGGACCCACTTCTCTACGTCTTTCTGTGTCGAGAGTTCAAGGAGAAACTGACGTCCATGATGGAAAACATTTCGATGTCATTTAAAGCAGCTTTGGCAGACAAGGCAGACTGCACCGTGCCACAGTGTAGATTCCAATAGAAGTCATGAGAATGTCACGCCACCGTCTGAGCTCAGATGTTACTGCAGATTTTGTAAACTCAATATCACATTAACATTTTATCATATACTGCATTTGCTTTTCTAACACATGCTGAAATTGCTTGTCTCATCAACGTGTGGCTTTAAATAGCTCGAAAACCACAAAGAGGAAATACAGTAAGGATGTAGGCTATAAACAGTCTGAGGAAAGACTTTGCATCTGCTGTTTTTTAATGTCAACAAAGTAGCTCTAAAAAGTTGAAAATCAGAGGTCTAACAAAAACAGCCATGCAAAACACTTGATAACGTGCACATCACACGGAAGTCTTTTAATGTTTGTGGACGCTGTAAAAATGGGTCATGTTTCCAATGCGTCTATCTACCAGTTTCATTGGTTTGCAGCATGCTTGCCACTTCTTACCACAGAGGGTTCACTGCAAAGCAAGTATGTGTGCAACACGGCCAAGATACTTTTACCGCACTGATATCTTTCCTCTATCACGAGACTAATGAGCTGTGCGTTTATTTAATTTATTATTCTGCCTAGTGTTGCACAAAAACAACTTTGAGTCAACACATTTTCTAATAAAACATCCCTGCTTGTATCCTTCAGCTGAGCAAACTGTGCTTTTCATTATTTTATTTTTGTTAACACGATTGCTGTTAAATGGTTGTGATGTATTTTAAAAAATAAAAATGAGATAGTGATTACCTTTAACTTTTTTTTTGTCTCTTTGGGTCTCAAAACCATGAATCTCCATATCATTTACAGTAGAACATATACTGACTAAACAACAACAACATTCGTGTAGTAAACACTTGCAGCTTCCTTCCCATACATCGTATCTCCTGGTTCAAATCCAAACAAAATCACACAGGAAGTCGTGCCGTTCTCAGAATGTACTATTTTTATCACGAAAGCACAAAAGGGAATAGCACTCTAGCAAAACAACACTACATCAGACATGTTGTGTTGCATTTGGCAGAAGTTAGAGATCATATATGCTATTGCAGATACATAAACATATTTTAAGATAAATAAAACAACATTTTGCATGCAACACTATCACATATGGAGCTTCTTCTATAAAGGAACAGTGTGCATTTATAAAGAGGAACTTTGAGAAAAACAGAACATAAAAACAAAACAAAACAAAAAAGACAGCGCAGTATATATATATATGCCATTCTTGCTCACTAAAACCACAGCATTGTTTGTCCCTGCAGTGGGCGTTGACTGATGAGAAAAGATAGACGCTAGAGGTGTGGTAAATGTAAGCGGCGAGAGGGAGGAGTGGTAGGCTGCAGGGGTCTCTCAATGTGGGTCAAAAAAATGAGCCCAAGGCTTTGGTGTTTGCTTGTCAACAGCTACTCGGACTGACGCAAGCCAGCGGAGGCAGAGGGACTGGCACGGAGCAGAACAAGCCTCTCAGCAGACAATTGGAACAGGAAGCAAGGAAGGAAAGGGTCTTTCACCCGGAGGAAGACTGGCAAACTCATTGGGATTGTGACAAGACAGCCACACAGTAGCTCCAGAGACCACCCATTGTAAGAGCATCAAACACACACACACACTTAAAGCGAGAGAGAGAGTGTGTGTGAGAAGGAGAGGGAGGGAGATACACTGAGAAAGACTTAAAGCTCAGGTCAGGACCGGTAGAACTTGACTAATTAAGAAAAGTAATAACTTTAGCAACACCAAGTTTTTTTTTCAATTTTGGATATTCTTTCATTTCGTTTTCTTCTTGTGGGGGAAGAAGGGGAAAGAGGAATTAGGCGTTTCACTTCTTCCTTTTTGTGAAATATTGTGGGGTTCTTTTTTTTTTTTTCCTTGCTTTGCTCATTATTCTCACCCATGCACCGCAGTCACAGACGATAAAGACACAAAAGAAGGTAAGTCTCAATTAATGGCTTTACAAGTATATCTTTTAGATTAAAACGCCAGCTGAAACTGGGCACAAAGAGAGGATTTGTGTTACAATAGTTGGGAACAATCTAATTAACATTAGTATGCGCACTAAAACAGACCAAGGTTTGAAAGAAATATATACTTGGGTTGCTATAGCACCTGCTTGCAGCCTCAGCGGTATTCGAAGTTAAGGTTTTTAATGCACAGGCAGATATACAACCGAGACAGGATGAGAACACACAGAATCTAAAACTGAATATTAAGTCTTGCTATTTTTGACTGTGTGTGGTTACGATGTATTTAGTTTTTGTCCTAAAAGAGAAGTATGTACATGCTACTAAAAGTGGCAGAAAGTGGCCTTTACTTGTTGATTTAAAGACAGAGAACAGGCTTAATTCTTAACACTAGTTATACGAGTGAATCAAAGTGTTTTGAGGATGTTTTGGGAGCTCTAGAAAATAATTAGAAAAATGTTGCATTTGTAAAGATGCTGGAAGCGTATTAGTGCTCTATCTTTGCAGCATCTCTTTTTTAACTTTATACAATGTCCTCCTTATGTCTCCTCTTTCTCTCATCCCGTCAGAGGTCCAGTGAAGATCAGAACATGAACAACACTTTGACCAACACCTCCATCAAGTGTGTTCGGGATACCAGTGTGACGGCTGTGGTTTTCCCCTGTCTATACAGTATCCTCTTTGTAGTTGCCCTGATACTAAACTCCCTGGCTGCATGGATCTTCTTCAGCATCCCCAGCACCTCAACATTTGTGGTCTTTCTCAAAAATGTGGTAAGTCTTTCGCTTTATAAATGTTGCCGTTACTGCGAAGCAAGCAAACACTGAAAAACTAACCTGTGCTCCTTCACTAACAGGTGGTGGCCGACTTGCTGATGACGCTGACCATCCCTCTGAGAGTCTTAAGCGACGCCGGCGTTGGCTTCTGGCATCTACGCGCCTTCCACTGTCGATACTCTGCCGTTCTCTTCTACATCACCATGTACATCAGCATCCTCCTGCTGGGCCTCATTAGTTTGGACCGCTACCTGAAGATCGTGAGGCCCTTTGGGCAGTGCTTCTTGCAGCGGGTCCGTGTTGGTCAGCTGCTGAGTGCTGCAGTTTGGGTGGTCATGTTATGTTTAGCGCTGCCCAACGTTATTCTAAGCGACCAGACGCCGCGCGTCTCTGGAGGCAGACTGAAGTGCAGCTCCATGAAGAGCAAAGCTGGCCTGATGTGGCACGAAGGGTTCAACTACTTCTGTCAGGTAACTATGACTTAAATGAATAGTTTAAGATTTTTGCAAGTATTTGCTTTCTGGTGAAGAACCAAAGTTCAGATTAGTCAGATGGGAAGATCCGTGCCTGTCTAATGCGGTGTGAAGTCAGCTGTTTCCCTTCTGTTTTAAGTATTTATATGCTGTACTAGTGGTTTCATATTCAGTGTGCTAGCGAGCGTGGTATCAATCTTCTCATCTAACCCGCAAAGACAAACCAAAAAAGGATATTTCACAGAATTGCAGACCTTAACCCTATTCAGGACTTTCATGTTGCCATATGTAGAAGGTCTTTCAGGGTTCATTGGACCCCAAGAAAGAATATGTGCAAAAAATTTGTTGGTATTCATTATAGACTTTTATACTAGGTTAAATACATTGTTTGATAAGTTGACATATCTTTGGTTCCAAATGCATGACAAATGTCCCTCTTTTTACATTTTTAAAAAACATTTTCAAAAATACAAAACCAATACCTGTCACCGACACTAAATGGCCTGGGATCCAAAAGACCCCACAAGTCCTGAGTAGGATTAAGGATACGGGTGGGTGACAAATTAAAGGAAAAACCTGAATCTTTAACCCCTACAGCAAAAGAAATACGACGGCTTTGTTATGCTGTGGTGTTCGTTTTGCTTCACTACAAATCAATACAAAGTTGTTCAGAGTGATCACTTTCTTTTATCCTATGATGAAACATTTCTATCCTGATGGGACTGGTCTCTTTCAGGGTGACAATACTCCCATCCATAGGGCACAAGAGGGGTTTAAAGAGGAAAAGAAAATCCTGTAAATCATATAATATGGCTTTCACAGCGACAATGTTGCAATCAAATTGAACATTTAAGAAATTCTTGACCACTGTGCTAGACAGCACAATCAACCAACATCATTGAAGCACCAAACAAAGGAATACATTTTGGGGAAAAAAAAAAAAAAAAAAAAGCTCCATTAGAGCTGCTGAGACTTAGAGAATCAGTTCCAAGGGGCATTGAACCTTAGTAAGACACTTAAGGTTGGTTTTTCCTTTACTTTCACATCATCAGCATTGTGAAATCAGTGAATTTAAGTACAGTGCAATATTCAGAATGTCATTAGTGAAATGAACTCCAGCTGACCTTTTAATTGCTCAACCACAAATTTTCAAGAACACAAGCTGTGAGAAATCCCCGTCTTGCTTCATGTTATGTCAATGTGTTGTTTTAGGTCGTTTTCTGGGGCACGCTTGCCCTCATGGTGGTTTGCTACACGTTCATCAGCAAGAAGGTCTACGAGTCATACAAAGCCTCAAAGAGCAGATCTCAGGCAGCCAGTCGCAGAACCAAGGCAAAGGTCTTTGTGGTGGTGGGGGTGTTTTTCATCTGCTTTGCACCCTTTCATTTCGCCCGCGTCCCCTACACGCTGACCCAGACCCGCAGCATCGCCAGTCATTGCCAGGCACAGAATGCGCTCTACATTGCCAAGGAAACCACCCTGTGGCTGTCGACCACCAACGTGTGCCTGGACCCGCTTATCTATGTGTTCCTGTGCAAGGTGTTCAGGAAGAAACTGACGGCCGCACTGTGCCGGAAGCCGCTTCACAAAGGTACCATGGAGTCTGCCACGGCAACGTCAACTCAAGTAGAGATGTCACAAATAGCCCACAGTAACAGACTGTCATATAATGGCATGCTGCAACACAGTGGACAATACACAATGGAGGACAATTAATAACTGTTATAGTCCGGGTGAGATGAGAGGCTGCCTGGTGTTTTACTTGTAAATAACTTTTCTTTTCTTGATGACGGGATGTAAAAAAATATAAGTAATAACGCAAAGTTATCAAAATGTGACGCATGAATATTGTTGTGCAACAGAAAAAAAAAAAAAAGTCCAAAATTACCAGCAGCGGCCATAAAGTTTGATGCCATCAGCGAAGACTGTTTCTGATACAGTACTAACCAAGCACTTCTGCCCCGTATTTGCCAAGTCATCCGACACATTTCCTTCATTGCGCTTACTGTCATTTTTTTGCTTCCTTCTTTCTAATCTCGCTCAAACTGCACTTTCCCTTTGCATAATGTTGGCTAAAGGGTACACATTTTGACAACACAGTTTTTCTAGTGATTACCGCTGAGTGTACAGGGACTGAAAGATAACGAAATGAGTTGGGAACAAAAGACTGCAACAGATGCCTCTTATAGAAAACTGTATATCAATAATAATATTAATAAATTGTATATTTTTCGTACTACAATTGCAAAGTGTTCTCTTTTGTGCTTAATGCAAATTTTCATAATAGCAGAGCTCATACAAGCATCATTATTGGGTCAACACAAGCATGCCAAAGCTCACTTCACAGCACTGAACAACGTACTGTATGCATTAGGGTTAAGATTAACTGATCTCATCAAATCTAAGACAAACAACAACAAAAGTGATCGCTGTGTGCATGTACAGCTGAGGGTAACATAAGCAGGGAAATGAAGAACAGAGGATGAAAATGACCTAAAAACAGCGTTGCCAAGATAGATGAAAAGATTCGTAGTTCGCATCATACTCAAGCTAATGTAAAATATATAATCAAAGAAGATATTAGAGGATTTTTATTTTTTATTTTCTTAAATGGACTATATGTGGTTTCTTTTCTCATGGTAAGGACTGATTACATAAGATTAGAGAAGCATGCTGTGATGTTTGGTGACATATATCCGGTGGCAGACGACCTGCCAGAGCTGTGGTTTTAGACTTACAGAAATCACTCTGCTGGAGATCAACTTGAAGCAAACTCCCAGCAAGGCTGCAAGCTTTTGCAAGATACCCACAGCACAGACTCATAGCTGCAGCAGTGTCTGATTAGCTTTTGAATTGAACAAGAAAGAGAAAAAACACAGAACTGGAACAAATTGACTTTTTCCTCAACACTGCAACACCCTAAAGATGGGTTTCAGGACATTCACAAACGGGTTCTGCAGGATTAATGTCACCTCCCACCTGATTTATAATCACGTCTACATGTGGGTTTGATTAATATAATAATGAAATATGATCTTTCTCCATCCCACCCTCTGTCGCTTACGACGGAGGCTGATATTTGGGCAGGAAATTAATGAGCTACAGAGCGGTCAGAGCGCCGACTGCAGCCGGGGGAAGGACCGTTCGTCACCCTCAGATTAAATCCTCTGACAGATGACCCCGCAGTACTGAATTATGAGAAATTCTAAATGACATTCATGGAAATTAAATAAACCCTGAAGATAGTGTAGCCAAGCCGTATGCACAGACACAAGTTGGGGACAAAAAGAGCCAGGTAATAGGGACAAGGTAGAGGCAGGGATTGACAGTTTCCCATAACTGGCTGCGTGGCAATACAGCTTTCATATAAGAGAAACCTGTCATGTCTGCATGTCAGAGATGCCAATCAGCTGGCTTATGAATGTTTTCATGTCAAGAAGCCCCAGAAAGATGGCAGCTTATTAGAGCTTTAGGCTTAAGCTGTGAGTCAGAGAAGTCATTCTGACACATTGTTCAATTGTTGGAACTTTCCCAGAATGAAAATAAGATGAAACTGAAATGGCTTACCTCACTCTGTCCTCAAGAGGGATGTACAACTTCCATGGGTGGCTGGGAGTAGAGTGGGTTGTCCATCGATCGCAGGATCAATCCCTTTGAACTCCAAGTTGCTCCCGAAGGCAGATGAGGAACTTTCATGGCAACTCCAATGTAAGAGTGTCTAAATGAGAGGGGAGTGTAAAAAAAAAAAAAAAAAAAGTTGTAAATTGCAATGGAAATCACTAAAGTAGAAGAACACCACATAAGTTCAGCCTGTGCAGTGGAACACACAAACAGGGTTTCAACTCAGCAACATGCAAGAACAAAGTTAACCTTGACTGTGATATTTGTGTGGATAAAGTAGAGCAAGAGAGGTTAAATGTGTGTCCTAACCAAACAAAATATCCATAGGTCAACACAAGAAAATACATTGAAAGTGAAATAAATTGTAAACGAAAAGAGCACATTTGATTTTCTTGCCTCTCACTTCACTGAATGGGGTTGGTCTCCTACAGTCATTTTATTCAGTTTTGATGCTTAATTTTTCCATTTTCGTTCTGACAAAGAGCTCTCATGTGGGCAGGTATGAAAGCACCTGAATTGACAAGCCAGTGGCCCAGAAGCGCAGCACCTAAATTATTTTTCACTCCCCCCTTGGAAACAGGGATGTACGGTTCTTCAAAACCAGAAGTAAAACTAAGAAATTGAGACTTAATATAAAACAGATAAATTAAGCAGTGAAACTATAAGAACTGACTGTCGAACAAACGTTGATGAGCGAAGAAAAGGTGAGATGTATTGTAATCAATGATCAGACTACTTTACTGAAGTTCCCCCTATCAGGTCATTTGTTTTAGCTTTCAGTTTATTTGAATTCACTTTCAATTTCATTATTTATTTGATTTTATTCCATGGTGGCCACTAGAGGGCAAGAATAATTCCCACAAAAGGTGGCAAATAAATAAGTCCAAAATTGCAATGCCTACCAACCCTATGCATTTACAAACCAGGAAGTTGTGTGACTACACCAGAAGGTTCATCATGACAGCTGCTGTCTCTGACCACCCTCCGCCTACATCTCAGCAAATATCTGTTCCTTCTTTTTCTTTATAATATAACACACAACAGGGAAGGATCCAAATGCAGACATAACAGACTGGTGGGTTAAAGTGCAAAAGAAATTTTAATCAGAACACACTTGGCGAGGTTACAAAGGCAGGGGAGCAAACAGAAAGCAGCTGAGGGTTCACGGAAAAGTCCAACCGAAAAATCCAAAATGCAAAACACAAACCTGAAGCGCACATAGGAAGTCAGGCTGGAACAGGTTGGAGGACAGGAGATTAAACGGGAGACTAAACAGGTGGAAAGCAAACAGGAGGGCAAACAGACGACAAAACAGGCAGGTGTCCAGCAGGGTGGCAGAAGGAGAACAAAGGAAAACCCAGGACTACATATACACAGGAAACTAATTGGGAGACATGACCCAGGTGAAACAGATCAGGCCAATCAAAAGGGAAGGTCCCAGACAGAAGCAGGAAGTAAATACAGGAAATGTCAAAATAAAACAGGAAATAAACAGCACACAGACCAAGATAGTGACAGACAAGACTGTCAGAACTGGAAGAAAATAAGACACCATCTTCCAGAGCTGCCCAACAAACACACACCACTAGCTACACAGTGGCGTTCATTAGATCAGCTCTGTTACGAGCTGCATGTTAGAATAGTCAGGGTGACTGATCAGAATGTGATAATTGTGTTTTATTGTGTGGTTTAGGCAAACTGATGTTGTAACAGAAGTTGCCTGAGTGTGGCTGTTGAAACTTTGCATGATAGTAAATGGTACATGGACTAAAAAGCAACAGTGAGAAGTCATTTAGTATGAGTCACACAATTACACACAGCCCCGTCTGTCTTTGGCCTGTGGTTATTGTTGTGTAAACTTGGATTTAAATTAATTTAAACAAAGTGTGTAGTGGATATTTTGCTGCCAGACTATATAGTCACCTCATAAATGCTGATGTGTGTTCCCAGCATTAGGGAAATTTAAAGAAGGCTGCATGACGTGATCTTTGGACTTGAGCTTTGCATAGCGATCAATAGTGACTGAAAGTTAAAACATAAAACTGGAGATGAGACACACAAAAATGGTTAGACAGCATAAGTTTAATAGAGTTGCTATGGTTGACAAATGCCTTCTTACACATCCAGAAACACCAAAGAAGATTTCACCATGTCATGGTAGTCATGTTTCAGGCCACCAGTTAATCCCAGTCCAATATCCAGCTTCATGGCTCTACTACCTCCAAAACACTTACTTTGTTGTCTTTAGACTATTTCTGTATGACTTTGGCATTAACTTTACCCTCTACCGTTACAAGCCTTCCAGGGCCTGCTACCAAGATGCATTTCCACAGCATGATGCTGCCACCACCTTGCTTTATGGTGGTGATGGCATGTTCGTGATGATGTGCAGTGTCTGTGCTATATTCCTTCCATTTCTTGATGATGGATTTACTCCAAGGAACATTCAGTGACTTGGAAATTTTCTTATATGCTGACCTTATGCTCTTCACTAACCTTCTTCTTTTGTCTTCACGATGTGCCAAAGTGGGCCAAACCACATTTACTAGAAAAATGGGGTCAGAATTTTATGTTGTTCATCATGGTTGTTGGAGGAGTCATTACGTGCATTCAATAATGTTTTAACATTGTCCAGAGATAGAAACAGCTACTTTGTGATGACTTATTTAAGTTTTAATTTTACCTTTCCTTTTGCTGAGTGCAAAAGCGGGCCACACCACATTTTCTACTTCTTGAGAAAAAAGAAAACTGATTCAAGGTTTGTCTTGCTAAACAGCACTGAAGAGTTTACATGGGTCATCATAAGGAACAAGAGGTATAAGAGGCACTTTTGAGGGCCATGGGGTAGAAATAGATACTTGGTGGTTAATTAGGTTTTCGCAGTTGAGTTTTTACAGGGCTTCAGTCCTGCTGTCTGCCATCTTGAATCACAAACATGTGCAGCCACCTACGCTTGTGATATAATGGTCAGCAATTCCTGTGGCTTGGCCCAGTTTGCCACTAAATTTTCATGCCAAAACCATTATGGGTCAAACTTCAAAGTTGCATTGTGGCATTACTAGTGGGCTGTTTGTTGGACCACTTTATCTAGTTGACCATAAATACTTAAAACTCAATTGTTTATTTATTTATTTATTTTGTGTGTGTGTGTATGTGGGGGGGTGGGGGGGGGGGGGGGGAGGGTGTATTTGTTTGTTTTTATAACAGAACTTTATTTAACAATGAATCTACACACAGGTAATTGTACAAATAATATAAACAATTTGACAGACATGTGCTTATAATGAAAAATGTACTTTGACAATTTTAAATTCTATGTATATTATTAATAAAAACAACAACAACAACAACAACAATATATTAAAAAGCACACAAAGGGGACAAGAGGAGGTCATTCTTCTTTTTGGAACACTTCTTCAAATATTTGAACAGTTTTATTGCTGTTTTTTATTTTTATATTATTATATGTATATTTAATGTTTTAATATGTTCTTCCATGTCAATAGATAATTTAACAAACTTTGGTTTTACATTTGCCAATCTACATGTGAGAACTTTGAACGCACCTTCTCAACGGGGCGAACACAGCTGACGCCGGCTACTGGCGGCGTGCGCGCTCCCGGGGCTGCTTCAACTTCTCGGCACGAACGCGCCTCCATTGCCGCCACGTGACGCACCCGCCGGGTCATATGATCCACCGCCTTCCTGTTTGCCGTCAACTTTCCCGACAGCGAGTCCAAAACAATCGAACATGGCGGACTTCGACGAGCGGCGGAGCCTGTTGGGAGATGAGGACGAGGACCGGGAGACCCCCAGAGGACCCGGCAGACCGATGCTGGCCATCTGCGACCCCAGCCACCTCCTGCACCGGGTGGTCGTCCTGCTTTTCATGTGCTTCCTGGGATTCGGTGAGCAGTTTGAAAGGCATCCCTGCGAGTCATTGTGGAGATTTTGGACTAACTTCAGTGAAATAAGTCACGTTTGATGTAAAGAAAGCTTGTGTCGCTGTTGTCACGGTGCAGGAATGTAGACTATTATTCCTGCAGTGTGTTGTAATGCTGCTCCTTTGTTCCAGGAAGCTACTTCTGTTATGACAATCCAGCTGCACTCCAGACTCAAGTCATCCAGGTGATTTATCCTCCATAAATGCGAACTCACACACCAGGCTATTTATGCAGTAATTCATATTCATTCATCTCAGGCTGAACTCTCATTCAAGGTTTTTACACAGAAGGCAGATTTTGCATTTACAGACAGAAACATCGATGTAAAAAGTAAAGTCAGCAGCCACAACAGTCTGAGTAAAGTTTCAGAAGCATGTTGGAAGTGGTTAACCAGGAGTCTGATGTGTGTCCTGCCAGGATATGAACCTGAACACTGCCAAGTTCATGCAGCTGTACGCCTGGTACTCGTGGCCCAACGTGGTCCTCTGCTTCTTTGGAGGATTTCTGCTCGACAGGGTGTTTGGCGTCAGGTAGAGAAGACCAACAATGCCTTATTCATTTTGTACTCAACGTGAAAAATGAAAGCGAAAGAGTTTTGTGCACATCATCTGAGTCATTTCTACTCTTTTGTGTTTGTAGGCTGGGGACGATTATCTTTTCCCTCTTTGTTTGCGTGGGACAGGTGGGTTTATTTGGAAATTTAGATGCGCAGAAGTGAATATTATATACCAAATTTGACTTTTGTTTTTGTTTTTAAATGATCCAAGTTGAGAATTTAAACTTATTTACCTCTGCACAGGTTATATTTGCTACAGGAGCTTTGGTAAATCGCTTCTGGCTGATGGAAGTTGGACGATTTGTCTTTGGGTAAAAAAATAAAATTGGTTCTTTCATTTTACCTTACACACACATGTGACCAACACACAGTCTTATATATGTATTAGATAGATAGATAGATAGATAGATAGATAGATAGATAGATAGATAGATAGATAGATAGATAGATAGGGCAACAGTGTACAAAAAAAAAACATGCAATACATACTCCTCTAAGAAATATAAATAAAAATAAGGTGCCAAAGATGCTAGTATTTACAAAAAAAGGTGCAAAAGTTGTTGGTATTTACAATAAAAATAGAGCATAAGTATAAAGACGAGTATAAAAAGGTACAATGTGAAACTAATAATAAGCATATGGCCACACATCTTGTCAGTTTTTGATTTCAACAGGAAATTCTTCAACATTCACCCCCCAGATCTCCAAAACTGAGTGTAGCATGTCTTTAGAGTTCTTGTACTGTTAAAAGCCCATGACTAAATAAAGTCTCAGGTTCATCTTGTTCTGTCACATAGCCGACATACTCCCTTTCCCTTGTTTTCTTTTGTCGGCCAGCATCGGGGGAGAGTCCTTGGCTGTGGCCCAGAACACATATGCAGTCAACTGGTTCAAAGGCAAGGAGCTAAATCTGGTGTTTGGCCTTCAGCTGAGCATGGCCCGACTGGTAAGGACGCTGCCAGCAGAATGTGTAGTGACACAAGCCTTGAAACAACGTGGTCATGTTTTTTTGGGACGATACAACATACATGTCTATTATACAGTGACGTCCATTCTCCTCTTGATTCTAGGGCAGCACAGTGAACATGAACATCATGGGCTGGGTGTACAGCAAAGTGGAAGACATGGTTGGTTCCTCTGGACACACTGCGCTCGGTGGATCCCTCATGATAGGTGAATATTAAAAACCCCTGCTTCACTCGAGCAGAACAGAACTTTCAAGCGGCAAGTGTTAAATATTGAGACTCCAGTTACATGTGCTCTATCTAAGTCAACGTTCGAGATACCAGATCCTTTCTCTGAAACTAATGATCTCAGATAACACACCCAGCAGAGGCGGGGAGAAGGAGAAGTGGTATGGAGAACTAAAAGTGCGACTGGCAGCCTCAGATGACTCACTGGAGTCAGAAGTGTCAGTTCTTGTAATTTTCAGCAGCTACTTCTTACTGATTTAAAAGTGCTTCCAGTTTTGCATACCTTGCAGTTGTCTGATACATTCTGTTCCCACGGCCACTGGTAGTTAAACTTTAACCTGACCATTTGAGATAAACTCATAGTACCAATACAGTCATCCAGCAGTCATCAGACATCCTGTCATAATGTTCTCATACTATAACTAAAACTTAGATTTCTGCACTTTTTCACCCTTCAGCTGCGGTAACCTGCCTGTTTTCACTGGTCTGTGCCTTGGTGTTGGCTTTCTTTGACAAAAGAGCTGCGAGGATCCTTCAAAAGGAAGAAGGAAACACAGGTAATGTTATCTATAGTCTTTTTTTTTTTTTTTTAAATCTTGTGTCTTCCTGTTTGAACCACATCTGTCAATAACTTCCACAATCAAGAGAGAGTTTAAGGCCATGTTTTGTTTGTGCTGTTATCTGAAACTGACATTTCACCTCAGCTTCCCCCTTTTGTCTGTTTATGTCTCCGTGCTGGTGACCTAGGCAATATTTTTTTGGGGTTGTCAGTCCTGTTCCTGTGAATGAGATTTATCAGGAACTCTTGGAGCGACTTTCATTACATTTGGAACAAACATTCACTTGAACTGAGTAGAATTTTGGGGGTCGAAGGTCACTGTAGTCTCACAAAGCACATTTCTTCCAGTAACTCAAGAATTCATACACGAACTGCGACAAAATTTTACTTGAAGCATAAAATACTAAAGTGATGACATTTTATATCCAAAAGGTCAAAGGTCGCCTTCAATGTGACATTATAATAATCTCTAAAAACACTTCTTCTGGTCGTTATTTGAAGCCACAGATGGTAATCAGGCATCACATTTTGGCCTGACTCTGACTTTGTAACACTAATATTGAATACCCACATTGAAGCTAATCATATAGATCTCCATGACTGCTGGATTGAAGACGTGTATGAAATATCCACATTTTAGAATTTGTAGCTTTTTTTTTTTTTTTGCAGCAACATCCATATTTAAAGCGTTGTCTGTGTCATGGCTAAGCCTTCATGTTCCAACACACAATCAGCTTTATTATCCAAACACGTACAACACACAGCAGATTTGATTTTTGGTTTCCCTCAATGAATTTACACCCTGTAAAGTCTTCATTTCACATATTATGAGTCTGGACAGATGCGGATATAAACTACGACTTGACTATCTGTCAGAGACATCCAACCGTAAGGCAGTGATTCCAGGTTTTCTGATGATTTAGCACAAAGTGTTGCTTTTATACAGAGAAGCCACTGTTCTTCTTGTAGAGTTATTAAAAGCAAATAGTGGTTTCAAATCAATCTGCATGCTTTTTTTTCCTGCATATTAGGTGAGGTGATCAAGCTGACAGATGTGAAAGATTTCCCCATCACCCTGTGGCTCATCTTCATCATTTGTGTTGGCTACTACGTCGCCGTTTTCCCCTTTATTGGACTGGGACAGTGAGTATTGCATTCCTGCTCTCTCTCCAGCAGTTTTCACATGTCACTCAGCAAGAGAGTGTCGTCGCCTGTGTGCTCCTGTGTTTCTCATAAAGTACAGGAAGAGTTAGGGTTAGGTTTTTGAAAATCTGTCTCAGGTTAGGGCCCGATGCATTTTTAATAAATTGTACATTTTATTTATTTAACCCTATTCAGGACTTTGGGGGTTTTTTGGACCCCAGGCCATTTGGTTTAGGTGACAGGTATTGTTTTTTTTTTTGTTGTTGTTGTTGTTTTTGAAAGATTCTTTTAAATATGAAAAAAGGGACATTTGTCATGCATTTGGAACCAAAAATACGTCAACTTCTCAGAAAATGTATTTAAATTTTTATAAATGTCTGTAATGAATACCAACAAATATTTTGCACATATTCTTTCTTGGGGTCCAATGGACCCAAAAGACTTTTTATGTAGGCAACATGAAAGTCCTGAATAGGGTTAAGTAGACTGTATTTTATACTTACCCAGTAAGGTCCGTGCCCTGCAAGTGTTATTTGTTGGTATATTTTTCTTATTAAAGCAAAATCTGAGCTCATTCCTCTGCCAAGGCAAGGCTAGGTTTTGAGCCCAGTAACATTATTTCAATTGTCACTTAACCTTGAGTGGGGAAAGAAAAGAGGTTGCATCCTAAACAAGACGCCATTGTGGTGAAATTGCGTGGTATGAATTAAATAGAGAACCTCCATTAAACGAGTACAGCGCCTGTATCTGAGGATGCGCTTCCTAACAATGTTGTGTTGTGACCAAACCACAAAGGCAGACACAGGGAGTCAGAGATGGACAAAAAAAATGGATTTGCAGTGAAAGAAACCAGTCGCAGTTATCTCAATCTGAATTCCCTTCACTCTCAAATCACTTAGCAACTGACGTTGGTTTTCCACAGAGGGTCAGTGCTTGCAGAGCAAATAGCTGCCTTTGCAAAATGGGGACAGAAAACAGTGAAAGGAAGATCGAGATGCCCACTGCAGGAGTCGACTGAACGTCTCCTTCGTTTGTTGTCGTCTTGGCATCGGCACAAAGGTTAAGCGGTGCTGTGAGCTGAGCTCAAATCTTTTTTTTTTTTTATTTGCAGGGTGTTCTTCATTGAAAAATTCAACTTCTCCCCAGCTCAAGCCAGAGCTGTCAACAGGTAACTCAGGTCAGGTGTAACAGACCACCGAGACCAAGCCACCTGAAAGCACTAACATCATCATCAGAGCCTGCTGTGTCTCGTGTTTCTTGCAGTTTTTTTTTTATTTCACAGGGGACAAAATAAAACACAGAACTTCTCATTTTAACCGTGCATATAATCAGATTTCTTCAGTTTGTTTATTTAGATTATTGTCATTAATCAGCTCAACCTACAGAATCACTGTCAGATTTTAGCTATGAAATTTGTTATAGTTCTTTTTTTTTTAAATCACGATTTTATTGTGGATTTTGCCTCTTATAGGAGTTCTATTCATTTCCTATCTCTTTAGCAGAGACCTCTCATGCCTTTCTCTGTCCTCCCCAGTATTGTGTACATCATCTCAGCCCCTGCATCTCCAATCCTGGGCTTTATAGTCGATAGGACGGGGAGGAATGTGGTTTGGGTAATAATTGCTGTGGTGGCGACACTCTGCGCTCACATGATGCTGGCCTTCACCTTCTGGAACCCGTGGATCGCCATGGTAATGCCCTCGGCAACCTTTTGCACTGTGCATTTCTCCGCACTTGCAGGATGAATTAATCTCACTGTTTGCAAATATTGTATACCAATCATGAATCTAGGAGTGTACATGCTAGGAGTCCTCAGTGGTTGGAGAAGTTCTCAAAAGTGAATTTAAAGTTAATGGTAAATGTTTTTTTTTTGTGCACACTCATCGATTCGCTGTGCATCCACCGTGTTTTAATCTCGAGCCTTTGTTGGAAGGAATAATAGAAGTTAGAGAATAATTAAAACATTGATTGTGTTTCTTTTTAACAACAAAAAAACAACAACTGTGTGGTTAAGTCACCTGGATCACTGGATAACAGCTGGAGTTTAATATGAATGGAATACAGAGTTTTGTTTAAAGCAGATCTCAAGTACGTTGCTAAAACCTTAAATGCTCCTGAATAAACACATTGTAAACTCAGCTAATCTGCTTCATCAGGACTGTGTGGGTCTTAGATTTGACTTGTACAACCCACCAACATTATACTAACTGCATATTCTTGTACATATTATACAGAATGTTTTTGTAACACGTTCTCAGGGAGCTTTGTGGAAACCAAAGGAACATATGAAGCAATCTGAGAGTATGTGTGCACTTGCTTTGTTTTCCAGTCCCTGCTCGGCGTCTCATACTCCTTACTGGCCTGTGCGCTGTGGCCCATGGTGGCCTTTGTGGTTCCTGAGCATCAGCTGGGGACGGCATATGGCTTGTATGTACCCTTCATGATGCGATTATGTCTCGCGCCATGCATATTCTGCTTTTTTTTGTTTGTTTGTTTGTTTTAGACAATCCACCAGCAGATAATCATAGCTTTTTATTTACTGACACTGATGCGCATCCTCTGTCTTTCTCCACCAGCATGCAGTCGATCCAAAACCTGGGACTTGCTCTCATTGCGATGGCAGCCGGAGCCATCCTAGACACCAAAGGATACCTGGTGCTGGAAGTGTTCTTTTGCGCCTGCATTTGCCGTCAGTATTTCTAGTCTGTTTTATGTGTGTTTACGGAATTCCGGTCTTTCAAAAGTCCTGCTGAACACTTTTGAGTGACGCCGTCAGACGTTTTCCACATTGGTTTTCCTTCTCTTTCCTTGCAGTTGCATTGATGGCAGTGGTGATGCTGTACTTTGTGGATTATCTCAGAGGTAAGAGAAGAATGGAGCCTTGAACTCTCTCTTTCTCTGCTTCACTTCTCTCACTCCTCTCCACTTCCACTCTCTCTTTATTGTTTTCCTTCTTTTTTTTTGTCCCTACCCCTAACCTGCTCGTCCTCCTTTCCTCATGTGACGTCTCTTTGCTTTGCTCTGCCGCTCTTCGGCACCAGACTCACTCACTCCTTAATCTCTCGCTCTCTTGCTCCAGGAGGACATTTGAACCGGTCAGCATCAGACAGAGCCAAACTCCAGAAAGAAGCCACTTCAGCTGCAGAGTGAGTAGCTTTGACCCTCCATCACGACTCTTTCCACCCACTTAGCCAATAATTAGATGAGCATCTCAGAAACATATTGAACAAGTCCCTCACATAATCAAGTGGCGTCGACATATTGTGGATAAGAAGACTTGAGAGCTTAGAAAGAGCTCTTATACTAATTTATTCTGGATGCATCTTTAGCTGAAACTGTTGCAGTCGGCTTAATATGAATCTGCTGAAATTACTCCAGCGTGCAGCGAGGCGAATATAAAAGATTTAACAAACTGAGCATGATCTTCAATATGATAGTTGGTCAGTGTCAGTGGTTTTGTCATTTAGTAACTCAAGTTGAAGTTTTTATGGATTTGTTCTTTGATCAGATTCTGCCCTCCGGCTGCATGAGTCGCACGCAGAGATTTAAAATCGTGCTTCAGTTTACTGTGTATTTACAACTCATAGTTTTAAAAAAAATAACTGCAAAATAATAGTTTACACAGCTCGGGAGTGTAACGATCACGATATCACCGACGTGTTGGCTGACTGGGCTTTAATTTAACTCAATTCTTGAGGGGGATGATATAGAAAACTTTCTTGTGGCCCTGCTGGTGTAATGTATCAGATGTTAACTTTTTTGTTTTTCTCCTAAGGATTTGCATTTATGAAGACAGTACCAGCCTAAATTCTAAAGAAAATAAATATTTAATTCCTTTCCTTGCTGGGGGGCAGAAAAGAAAGTCTACACATGCAAAACTTTGTTGCAGGTTCTGAACCAAAATGAGATGTTTATGGCAGAAAAGCATCAGGATGCCCTCACAGCTGCTCTCGTAGAGTATTTTATTAATAATTGTTGTGTGACATTTCAATCAATAAGGTCTCCTTTGGGCACAAACTATCTTACAGATATTTTATTGTGTATAGTTATGTTTCTCTGAACAAGAACAGCAGGAAGCAATGGGTTGAAATCTTGAGTAAATACGTATCTTCTAACAATGATGCATCCACCATCCCCATATGGGAACATCACTGCCAGAACATTTTCCCCATTTCATTACAGATCTTTTTACGAATGTGCACTAAAATGAAACTCATCCTTTTGGCAGTTTGGTGATGTACCTTACTTTATAAGCAGGTGAAAATCAAAAGAAAATGCCATTTGGCGAGCGAAACATGCACGCTGTGTTTCACTGTGTTTGCTTCAAGACTTAACTTGTTTTCATAAGTGGTGACCTCTTTTTTTTTTTTTAAATAATAATAAATACACCACATGTTCCATTAATAGTGACCGAAAGGCAGACGTGGCGTATTGAAACAAGACTTCCGTGACTGCAACATGATGGGAGGAAACGGTTTTCTGTATTAGCTGACCGACCAGGGAACGTTTATTTAGGCCATGGTTTTTCATTTCTCATATCCTGACTGCTGTCTGTCATTAGCACACCACCTGTGGTTGACTTATTTGCACTGGTGACACTAAAATTACCAGCACCAGTTATCGTGGTGGTCATGACTACTTTCAGTTCTCATTCTTTGCATGGTCTTTGTCACGGTGGGTGGGAATGGCAGTAACATCTGTGTCTGTCTCTCTGTCTCTGGAGTCTCTGTTTAATCTGTACTTTGTTGGATTTTATATGTGACTTATCCAGACTGACCAATATTTTCTGGTCCATGCTGTCATGATATTTTCCAGATGATGATGGCGATGAGCGAACACACATGGTCCTGGGCTTCAGAACCAGCAGGCTGCACTGTCCACCCCACCGCTTTCAATCTACTGCCACGGGGCGGGACTGCGGTTCTGACTCCACCCAGTGATCTCATCTGTGGTTCTTCGCACCAGAACTGACTGTCTGGCATTGGCTATTGCATAAGTCCGTGTAAATAGCAGACTACATCCATATCAGGGTGCTGACAGATGACACTGGACACCACACTCATACTGACTTTATTTCAATCCGTATTCACTCAACCCCTGACTCCTCCGTGTGTCTAACTTCAGCATGAAGTTTCTTTCTCAGTTACAGAAGAAAGTTAAGATGCTTGAAAAGTGTTTTAAACCATTTTAAACTGTTAATCAGAAGCTGTATCTAGTGGGAAGGAAGTATCCCTGATAAATATTACCTGATTTTATTACATACTATTGCAACTCATGATATAGGATTCCTATAATAATTCAGGTTTTATAGGTACATTTGGGTGACTTCGTGGGTGTTTTTAAATGTTTTTTTTTATTCTCTTACTGTTACTTGCCTTATTGCAGCCCACTCAGCCGCTCCTTTATGTGCATATCATCTGTCAGCATTCACAATAATTACCAACCAAAATCCTCCATATTGGACTCTCCTTAGGCACAATGGGTTCATCTTCAATTTTAATCATATGCGTCATTGACCTTTTATGGTGGATAATCTCAAAAAGAGCATAGCTCTTTATTGTTTAAATCTTTATTGCTCAGTTCTTTTATTTCTTAATTTCTTTATCTGGTGTTGGCTGATTTGCGAGGTTCATAAAAGTTTACTTTCTGTCGCATCATCAAATAGCACATTACAGTTAAGATAAGAAAAAATCGAAAGGGGCACTTTTGAATGCATCTATCCGTGTAATATTATTCCCAGTTAGGAGTTTTATAAACTCCTTCATTATTGTGACTTTTTTAAAGAATCCACATTTGAATTCATGTTTTGTAGATTGTGTTTTGCTCGTGCATCAAGCTCAGGTAATTAACTTGTTGTAAGCATTTCCCCAAATTATTGAGTGATGCAGCAAAAACACTCGTGCACTCTGCCAAACACTCTCCGGTAACGTGGAAGCAGATTTGTGTTGCCGTGCTGATATCAGGCTCGCAGACTGTGGATGATTAACATTCACTACCTCAGTGGGGCAAATGAGTCCCGGTCAAATTCTTAACAAAACATTCAACACATGTAGAAAGATGGTCAGTATATAAAGGTAACATGCTGTGATTGCACATGGAAATGACCACTGTGTCAAACCACCAAAAGCGTGCTGCTCTTCTCACCTGTCAATCATTTGCACTTTGAGGTTTTTGACAGTCTTCGTTTCACTATAAATAGTTGTGCTAAACTATGAAGTGTTACTGATCTGTGTACAAAATGATCTAATTGTACAACTGACAGCAGAAATTGGAAAAGTCGCTTGACAGAACAAGCCTGTTTGTAGAACCAAGTCACATTTGATACCAAGAACAATGACATTCAATTAAACATGATTTTTTTTTTTTAAAAAGCACTTGAATCCTCCTTTTATTGCTGCAGTAGCTTTTTTTCCCCCTTTGCTGGTAAGTTATTTTCTCTGCTTTTTTTTTTTTCTTTTGCAGCACACTGGGTCATTAATCCTATTGAAAATATTTGCATAATTGTGCTCTTGTTGGCTGTAGAGATGTTCAAGGTGGGCACATTATTATTCCTACAGGATGAAACGGCGGCCCAGCAGGCTGACAAAGGGTGAGCTTGCTAGACTGGTGCCCATGTCTGCTTTTGGTTTACGCAACCGGTACCTCTCCAGACTGGGCACGCAGGTATGTCGACACACACACACACACACACACACACCCTTTAGGATTAGACATAATTCAAACAGAAATCCATTTATTAGTTCATTCAACCTTTATAATCTCGACACTGGCAATAGTTTTACTTAAAGGCTTTTACTGCTGCAGTGCCGCCACTTCAACTGTGGTCTTTTTTCCCCCTCCTCCTCTTCATTTAATCTGCCTTTGTCCTCTCTGCTCTCAGCTCCCAGACCACTACTCTACCCATCTGTCATCACTTGCCCACAGGAGTGTTCTGAAATGATGCCCTTTCATACTGCTCTGTAACTCTGTGGCTCCAGACAAGTGTGCACTAAAAAAGAAAAGGAACATTTACAAAATACTTTTTTTTTTTTTTTTTTTTTTAATCTCCACCTCCACCTGAGTCTCCTGGGTAAGCTATGAGGGTGTCTGTTTACTGGCTAATTATTAACTAATTATTTTTGGATCTATCTTTCAAAAAAAAGCACCTTTTCCTTAAGTCAAGTATTTTTTTCCAGGAGATTGCATCATAAAATTGGCCTGATTTTTTTTTTATAATGATGGCTGAATGCTGTTTTAGAGGCGCAACCCTCTGCAAACAACAGATGGCACCACTTCCCTCAAACGTTTAATGTCACCTCTTGCCTCAGTATCATTGCTCTTTAATAGCAGCCTAAAACTACCTCAGTTATCAGTTCTTCACTTTTGCTTAACCTCCAGGTTGCAACAAGTTACTCGAACAAGTGGGAAAAATGCGCAAGTGTTGCTTAATGTTTGTTGATTAATTTGTTTAATGTATTTTTAAATATATATATATATTTAAAGAAATAAAACTTGTTATAAAACACAGCTTGTACACAGTGTCGGTGGAATCCTTATCATTACGGCCCACTGACCCGTGATAAAAGTCACTGTAGCCTGCAGACAAATGAATCCTCTGATGGATCCTCTCTATCCTCCGGACCTCTTTGTGCCGTCCACATCCACCAGACACACGCTGGGATGTACTCTTCTCTTCCTCCTCCCCAGCCAGGCCCGGAGCTTCCGACGGTGCCGATCAGAGCCGCAAAAGTAGAGGAGAGGATTTGCGCAGCAGTTGAAACTGACTACCGGTTTCCAGACTTTGTAGCAGATCATGACCACATTCAGCAGAGGACAGTTTTCGGGCGTGTAAACTCTCACAAACAAGTAGACGGTGCGCGCAATGTGATAAGGAACGAAACACACTACAAACACCAAACACACGACCAAGAGAGTGATGAGGGACTTTTTACGCACACGCGCCGTCCTGATGTTGGAGATGAAGTCCGCGGCCCTGAGCGTCCTGATCATGGAGCAATAACAGGTGGCAGATACTAAGAATGGGACCAGAAATCCCACGATCGATAAAAACAGCCCGTATGGAAAATACACATTAAACTGCCCCGGGTCCGTCATTTCAAAGCACACAGTCATGTTGTTGATCACACCCGTGTGCGAAAACACAAGTGTGGGTAGAACCTCTGCGTTGGCCAGAAACCAAACGGACCCTGACGCAAAGACGGCGATTTTTTTGCTCCTGAGGCGCACAGCGGTGATGGGGTGGCACACTCCAAGGAACCGGTGGAAGCTAACGCAGGTGAGAAACATCATGCTGCAGTGCATGTTGACCAGAAAGACGAATCTGACGATTTTGCAGACGATGTCACCGAAGGGCCACAGGTCTCCCATGGCGTTGCTGATGATGAGCGGAGGCAGGGCCAGGACGTAGAGGAAATCAGCCACGGCCAGGTTGGTCATGTAGACCGCCGTGCCGCTGGTGCGGTGCGTCGGGCAGCGCAGACACCACAGCAGGGCGCCGTTTAACGTCAAACCCAGCAGGAAGACGAGGCTGTAGGAGGCTGGGAGAAGGATCCTTTGGTAGTAGCTGTTCACAGGACAGATTAGTTCCTCCATTCAAAGAGGTTCACTCGGGTGGGTTGACAGGCCAGCCAGTGCGCACAACTCCAACCTTGTTATTAGAAGCCGTCTAATCGCTTTTCCACCTCACCTGTGTGCGGCTCAAATGAGTGAGAGAGACGTGTGCTTTAATAAAAACTAACAATTGAAGGTGTTTGTTCAACTTCCCCGCTGTTCCCAGCCCACACCTTTAGAAATGTAAACCAGAAACGCCATATCTCGGCTATGCGCAAACAGACTGGCACACTGGCGAGGCATTTTTTAAAAGCCCTGGCACAACAGGCCAGTAAAGTGCTGTTGCCCCCTTTTCCCCCCCAAGAGAGAAGGCAGTGCAGAATAATTAATGCTGCGATTAAAGCCGATTGCCAAGTTAAATGACGCCGTCAACACGCGCACGGGGGGCGCTGTATAAAAGAGGGGGAGAGAAAAAAACGCGCTCAGCATCCCATTGGCTGCGAGAATTCTCCAAGTCTGGTCTCTCGCCGGCTGCTCCCGACTCAAAGTGTTCACTTCATCTCTGTCTGACTGCGGAGAGAGAGAGAGAGAGAGACAGCTCGTCATGCTGAGGAACAGCACGTACAGGTTAGTATCACATCCAGCGACTGGTAAATGAAAAGCAGGAGGCGTTTTTGTATTTTTTATTTTTTTTTTCTAGGATGAATCCTCCAGAACAGGCTGTTTCGACGATGAGTGACAGAAACCTGCATAACGGTGCCTCTCTCTCTCTGCAGCTCGGACAAGAGCACAGGCTGCTCACATACCGACAGCGTGTAGCATATTTCTCATATGTGGAGAGTTTTGTGTCTCAACTTGAGTGATGTCCTTCCAGAAGCATGTACCAGGGAGAGGAGGTGAGGCTGCGCAGCGGGAGTCAGGCTCGGGAGAGGAAACACCTCGCTCTGTGCATCAATAACCAGGTAAGAGACAACCTATGTGTGCCTATGTCACCACTGTAAACTGCATATTCCTCTATCTGTAAGTGAATCATGGGAGGCTATAGCCTTCTTTTTTAAAATTTTATTTATTTATTTTTGCTCAAGAATGATGTAATCCACTTTCTTGTATTTCTGGAGCAGTAAGTTGATGCTTATCCTCCTCAGCAACACTTCGAAGAGAAATAGAACAGCATATGCCATGCAAACATCTATTTAGAAGAAACAACATCCTCTGCAACATCTTCATGCATCCATTCCCCAGTGGTGCACAGCTGGAGAGACACCAAAATAAAGCAGCACCAACTAGAACAGTGAAACATCTTTGCCAAACTACAGTAAACCTGGCATCCGTCCCTTCCCTTCACAACTGCTTAGATTTTTCTTTTTTTTTTTTTTTGCTTTCCTTATTCACCCATTCAAATGGCACAATTGGCTGAATTCAATTTGGTTTGGGAAATTGCTTTTTTTTTATGTTGGCTTGAGGCCACTTAAAGATTTTCATCATGGCAGCAGCTGAGAAAGGTCTCATTAATACTACATACTGTAGCCTGCGTTATAAATGACTTCATTTTCAGCAGGGAACGGTGATGGCATCGCTGAACCGCTCAGCTGAGTGGAGGTGACGTTCTCCCCCTTGCTCCTCACGCTGACACCCGGAGCTCACGTTATATTAAGCTTTTCATGTGTGTTTTTGAAACTCGGACAGCCGGTTTGAAGAGAAGGAGTTGTCGTAATTGGCTCTGTAATTGTAATTTTGCTCTGCTTGAGTCATCTTTAACAGAGGTTCGTGATGTTTCCTTTGTGCGCCTGGGTGAGTGTAGGTGCACAAGTTCACCTGGGTGTATTGAGCCTCTGAATATTTAATGCCAGTGATGTAGTGTTGCGCATTATCGGCAGCTGGGGATATTGAGCCTGTGAGATCTGAAAGCACTGTTCCGTCACAGCTTTTCGACTTACTCTGCAATATATTATGAAGGTGCAACACACGCTCGCTCACTTGTTTGTTGCATGTTCCTCTAAACTTTCCCATTTTGACTCCAGATTTGCTCCAATCTGTCTCCACTGCTTCACCTTGAATTTCAGTGTCACTTTTTTTTTCCCCCCAACAAAATGACACTTCTAAATTGATCTGGCTTCAGGATCCACGTCAGGGGCAAGAGTTTCATGCAAGGTTTGCTGAGGAGGACACAAAAGAAGGCTTGGTGAAAGACTGATCAGTAATTGGCGTGTGAAATATGAGTGAGGATACAAATGCAGGTCATTGGTTATTGAGGCTGCTCCACTTGCTGTGTTTGTGTGAGTGATTCAGATTCATTGCTGAGGCGGGAACCCCCCTGAGAAACACATTCATCTATCCAGCTATTACCCCATAATCAATGGGACAGCTGAATTTTATGGCCACGCACCCGTATTTGTTAACCATTTTACAGAGAGCTTATTTAAACAGCATCCCAAAAGGGTCACAGAAGGGGTTATGCATGGAATCTACAGTACAGGTGAATTAATTGAATCATGAAATCATTCATCAGTATCATGCATGGAGCCTCTTGTTGCTCCTAATTCACTAAACATGAAAAAAATAATGCCTTAGTGTGCCACCTTTACTCAAAACTTATGCTCAACAGGAGCAAGCAACGTACACGGACCCTCAATCACAGGTACAAGCCAGCTTCAGCTCACCAACACAAACATTAGGAGACAGATGCGGCGCTCTGTAATATATAGAAGGATGTACATAGTGGGAGTGTGGTGCCAGGGAAGGGTGTCATATTTCAGAAGTGCATTATCGTCTCTCCCCCCGGTGGGGCAGAGCTGTGCTCAGTGCTGTTTGCGCCAGCTCACTCAAACGCTCCACGATTGAGTCGTAATAACCTGCACGGGAGCCGGATGAGCCCGCACGCTGACAGATAGGTGTCTTTTGGACTGCCACAGTCATATGATGAAGAAATATATATATCTCCCGTGCATGTGTGTGTGTGCATTCGTGCTCTGGTTCAATGCCACAGAAAAAAAAAAAAAAAAGCATCATTTTTTTTTTCCCTGATATGCACCATAACTCCTCCAACACATTTTCAAAGACGCATGGATGGATGCACAAATGCGCACTCAGACACACACATATATGCCAGTTTTGTAGTCATTTTCATCCCTTTACCACGTCTTGGAAGGCTGGTTTGGTCTCTAAGTGTGAGCTTAGTCTTTGATCACTGAAAGAAGCCCTCTTACTGATAATGGGGGCATACATGTGTGCTCTCACTCCCCTCCTTCGCCATATGTTAACCGGAACAGCTCTCCCCTGGTTAATAGTAGCGGGGGGAATAGTCCCAAGTGCTCCATTTTGCATTTTGATAGTCTGTATGATCATTTTCTCACCCTCACACCTCCTTCATCTCTACTCGTCACACCCCCACCCACCTCCATGCACTTCTTGGGATGTCTTCTTTCTCATTTTCGAAAAAATCTCGCGCCCACCTCTTATCCCTTTTATTGATGCACGCTTTCATCCCTCATTGTACGTCCCATCTTGCCTCCTTCCAACCTCATGGATGTTCAGCGTTCTTCACTGCAGTACGGCAACATGTGTAGTTCTGAATGAAGACTTGCGTATATTCTGTGTGCATAAAGAGATTAATCAGCTTCTCCAAATCAGTCGGTCAGCAGAAAATGAATAAAATCAGCTTTGATAAAACATCAGTCATCATATATATGGTGCAGAATTGCCAAGCATTAGCTTTTGTCCAGCTTCTTAAATGTGAAGATTTGAGGAATGAGGGTTGAATCAAATGATTTGCTGATAATTAAAATAATTACTAGAGGAACCATGCTGTTAAAATGGGACTTATATGGAAGGAAAAAAAGAAAAGGGTCTGTTGTTTTTTTATTTGTAGATGTCTGGCTATAGATTAATTAACCCCTCATCTGTGTATGTGCAGCCTCCTTGTTTCTTATCTCACTTTACTCCACGTTCTCCAGCCTGGTATTGATGGCTGCCTGAGTGTGGCAGCCTGTGTGTTGTGTGAATGTGTACGGTAGGGCTTTACACATTGTTATCTGATCAGTATGAAACTGTTCTTTTACTGCACCTTCAGTCAATAACAGTTTATCATTTGATTTTATGCCAATTTTAACCACCAAACCTGGATGTCTCTTTCATTCTTTCTTTTATTGTCACCTTTCTCTCTCTTTAAATATATTTTATAAGGTTTCCAGCAGAACTATATGAAAACACATCAGGTTCACCCTATAGCCATAATACCAGCAGAAAATAACATTTCAAATCGTGTAATCACATGAGCACATCAGTAACACCAATTGTACATCTCTCAGCAGGCTTTTTTTTTTTTGTACTCAGGGACTTGGGCGAAAGAGTAAATGTTGACTTCCATATTACTCCTTGCACGCACTGCGCATGTAAATTGATTTCCGATGTCACGATTAATGAGCATCTCCGCCGGTACAGCTCTTCTGATTGGGCATTTCCTCCGGCTGATCGGCAAGTGGAAGCCACGGCTAAACAGCCAATAGTTGTTTGGGCGCATCACCTCGCTGCAATCCAATCCTCTGAGATCACACCAATGCGTGTGCATGTGTGTGCATCAGTGTGCTTGTTCATTCGGCGCACTAACATGTTGCGTCTGTGTCTCCTGTGTGTCTATGTGTGGCGGTCTTTATCTCACTGAGAGACTACTGAAGGGCACAAAGGCCTGAGCATCTCTCAGACAAATCCAGGGAATGAATGTGTCTCCTGTGTGTGTGTGTGTGTTTTTGTGTGGACATCCAGCTTTGCCTGCCATCGATCTCTGTGATAGAACTAGGACTCTGAGAAATTATGATTTTAATATCTCATCAATTAAAAGGAAGCAGGCTTTCTTTCTGCGGTTGTTTTCTCCCTCCTTCCTTCCTCTTTTCCGTCCGTCTCCCATTTTTCAGCGACATAATGCTTATTACCGTCTCCCCTCACCTTACCTCGCCTTTCACTCTATTGATTGCCCTTATTTTGATATTGAAAATAATGCGATTAACTTGCTTACATGCCCAGCAGGAGTGGTTCTGTTAATATCC